TACCACAGGAGGACATTGACCACCTGATCAGAAGCATGCCTAGGCGCGTTGGAGAATGCGTAGCACATCAGGGTGCATCCACACATTATTAATGGTCAAAGGGCTTTAAAGCAGTGCAACCATTTTTAAATTTTTATCATTTACTTATTATGCTTCATTAAGTACTTATACAAAACTTTTTTTAAAATAAAACCATTTAAACTGGGTGTTCGGATTTATATGTCACTTAGTATATATCTAGGACGAATTTTGTGGCCTCCACGCCCCCCAGACATGAACCCTCTATTTTTTTTTACTGGGGATGTTTAAAAGATAAGGACTATGGGAAACGAGTCCGATCAGCCGATGAACTGCGTCATCGAATTCGGAAAGTAGCACCCGAAATATCCGATTTAAGTTTGAGACGTTTAAAAGGACAATTTTTAAGAGCAAATTCTGTTGTTAAAATAATGATAATAAAAATAACTTATTTCAGACAATATTTACAACACAAGATGTTAATTTAATTTTCATTCGGTTAATGATGACTTCTAATTTTTTATTTGATTTGAATGTTGCAAAATCAATGGAAGTAAAAAATACTGAGAATGAAAGACATGAGGTAGATACTTACGATGAAGGTTGTATTGATATTGATGAAACTTACCTGGAAATAAAAAATCATGAATTAATATTTCAGCCCATAAATAAGCAAACCGTCAGGCAGATTATATAACTTGAGAAATACAGCTTATTACATTAGGATTTTGTGTAAGCAATCGAAATCTACTTATCCACAGTAGATTGTATTTGTTTAGAAGTGATGGAGTGTGGAACTTCGTACATCTGGAACTACGGGGTATCGAGATTATGGAACAATCCACTTTTCTACTAGCCTTAGGCAGCTCAAAAATCGGATTAACAAAGGTTATTTAAGCTCATCATAGCAGCCGCGATGCCCTGATATTTAGGCTTCTGCCTGCGCGGCTGCTTTCGGTATAAAAAGAAGAGTTTATACGGAATGTTGTCTTTCACATGGTGAAATTATGCGGAAAAATGAACTAAAATATAGTTATAGCTTAAAATATTGAGGAAATCTAAAATTTCTAGGATAGCATACATACAAATATAATTGAAAAATCAAATCAAGCTGACCCTCGGTAGGCTTTTAGGCGTCTAATGACCGATTATCAAGTAATATATGTTGGGAGATTTGGGTGCAATCCCCTTTTTAGGGCGCTCTGAAATGTACCTCGCAGTTTGGTTGAAATTTTGTCGAAAATCACCTTGAGTGTGCTACGTATTACAATACAATGGACCCATTCTCCCCAGTTAATTTGGCTTGAATGAAGGCAAGTGATTGGTGGTACTTCTCCTTTTTGTTGGACGAAAGGACATTTCCAGATCGGATCGACAGCAGCAGCAGGGACATTAGCATTAAACCGGGTCCTGTTGCTCTCCTTAATTCGCCTATTTATATACCGTTGCATCTTGGTGATGTGCAGCAGACAAAAAAGCAAAAAAGGGCCCTGCCTTCTTCTGGTCTGTCGTCCGATATATATCGGGAGGCGTGTGTGCTGCTGTTGGAGCGCGAAGGTCCTTATAGAGGCTGACCGAATGTGGCATGGCAGCAGCAAGCAGAATCAAGCAGCCTGAGCTCCTCGTTGACGTCTGTCACTCAAACCCAATCACATCCGTCACTGGTCGGGCCAAGACTGAGGATGCGACAACCACCGGCACAGGCGGCGCATTGTCTGGGCATTCTGTGCACCAGCAGGGGTATTACGTATCTTGAAAAGTGACATTATGCCTTTTTTAAAATCATATAGTTTATTTGTGACATTATGTAGGTTTTCCTATTAGAACTTGTTGTTGTTTACTTGATGTGCATTCGTTCTTTAGCTGTATGTGTTGTCAAAACATCATGACGCTTGATCTATCAATGTTTGGCTCTGATGTGATGCTTCATAGATGACACTATTGGAGGTTTAAGCTATAAGTTGCTTAGTGACGCTTTGTGTGCTAATAATCTATGTTGATGATAATCCCCTTGGTTTCTTGTTTCAAATACATATAGTTCAGATGTATGCATCATCCTGGAAATTAACATATAAGCAAATTTTCTGAATTTCAAAAATGAGAGAGAAAAAAAGAAAATCCCTGGTTGGTGAAGTATACAAGAACCGGTAATAAAATAGGTTACAGACAAGAATATTCATGAAATGTGAAAATGTTATTACATTTTACATATTTTTTTATTTCATGGGCAGCATATTCGGTAAAAATTTTCTCACAATCACCACACAATCATCCAGATGCGATCTTGCTGTCTATCAGATTAGCTCGGCATTTTGCGACCAACAAAACATGTTGGCGAACTGACTTGCAGCTTGGTAATTGAGCCATTCCTCCATAGGTGACGCTTACAGCGCTATACGCGCAAGAATGAACTACACGTATTTGCACACTAGGAGTTACTAGTCAGCAAGTTGACATTTGTCGTTTTTTTTTGGCACTATACAGGTTTTTTACGTAATAACCCTGCCAGTGCGCAAACCGACCGTCGAGGTCTACTGGTAGATCGCCATCCATTGTTGGTCGTCTTTCTCATACGGCCGTTTTGCCAGTTGATTGTTATTTGGGGTGCGTGGTACCAGGATAGATGCTGTTGCTTACTTGAACAATTATTTTCTCGTAATGGTCTTGGATCCGGAGGCTTGAATCTGTAGGCGTCTGTTCTTTTGATAAAACTTGACTTTTATGACTGTTTAATAATAGTAGAATAGATTATACCAGGGTTGCCTGGCAAAATTTAGCCGCAATTACCTCCGATAGAATACAGGGTGAGTTTTTAGTATGGTGGATGACTGTCATCGCACATAGTATCTAATCTATTTTTCAAATGGATTGCAGATTTGGATATATCCTTTAAAATAAAGCAATATGATATAACATAACATACGAGGGATGTCTTTTAAGTTTTGCATATAGAAACATAGTAGGCCGCGCGGATCGAACGTCAGTAATGAATCTTAACCTCACTCTTTAGTAAACTTAAATTCAAAGTTTAACAACAGTACGTGCAGTGTTCTCACTACAGTGAATTTTTAAGTGGCACCAAGTCATTAGAAAAATAGAACTCAACCGAGAGCATTTTCGCGTGGAAACGTGGAAGGGTGAGTCTTAGCGACGATCCCAGGGTGGGTGCACCAAAACGGCAGTCACCCAGGAAAACGTCGATGCTGTGCGCAAACTCATCACTGAAGATAGACATGTGACATATCGCGAGATTGAGGCGGCCTTGAAGATCTCAAAGACCTCAATTCAAAAAATTTTACATGAAGAATTAGGAGTAAGAAAATTATTTTCTCGTTGGATACCCACCTGTTGACTGAAGAACAGAAAGCAGCCAGGGTTAATTGGTGTCAAAAAACGCTTGACCGTTTCAATTCCGGAAACTTAAAAAAATGTGTACAGCATTGTTAGTGGTGATGAATCGTCGATTTACTGTTACGAATCAGAAAATAAACGACAGTCGGCTGTTTGGGTGTTCCAAGGTGAAGAAAAGCCAACAAAAGTCATCCGTTCTCGAAGTGTTCCGAAAAAGATGGTCGCGACATTTGTGTCAAAAGCGGGTCATATTGCAACAATTCCTCTTAATAAGCAAAGAACTGTTACTGCGGATTGGTATACCACCATTTGTTTGCCAAAAGTCATCACCGAACTTCGAAAAATCAACCCCGAGAGAAGAATCATCCTCCACCAAGACAATGCAAGCTCGCACACAGCCCAAAAAACAAGGCATTATTTAACGGAAGAAAACGTGGAATTATTCCATATAGTCCCGATCTAAGTCCTAACGATTACTTTACTTTCCCGAAAATTAAAAACAGACTGCGTGGTCAAAGGTTCCAGTCACCAGAAGAAGCAGTTGACGCATTCAAATATGCCGTTTTGGATCTGCCAGCAAACGAGTGGAATAAGTGCCTCGAAAATTGGTTCGAGCACATGCAGATGTATATTGATCTTCGTGGAGATTACTTTGAAAAACAATAAAGTCATTTAAAACTACCTACTACCGTGTTGTTTTATTTCCATATGCAAAACTTAGTATTCTATTTCCAAAGTGTTGAGATATTTGACAATCTATTGATTAAAACACTGAACTTTGCCAACTCGCACCTCCGCAACTGTTATAGATAAAGTTAAAGTCAAAAAAAATCCACTAATCTATTCAATTTCTTGAACAGTTCAAACATGGTGGTGAAGAATGACAAATGAACGATATCTTATAAAATCTAAATGGAACACACATTGTGCATTTTCACATTTTTTTATTCACGTTTTCAAGAATGTGAAAATACACTGGGTGTTCCATTTAACATTTTTGAGAATCTCCAGTACCCCCTATAGCCGCACGATTCCCACAAGGATTAGGCTCTATACTTTCGTGGTGGTTCATGTATAAAAAAAAAGAGATTTAATCTGACTATATAGCTGTGAACAAAATTCTGTACATCCTTGGTGGCGAAGGCCAACTGTCATCGCACCTTTCATACATTAACGCCACGCGCCTCATGCTAATATAAAAGTGATCGGTCAATAATGGCATACGTCTCCACCAAGATGTGTAATATACTGTTTTGATAGACTTGTTTCTCGTCTGTCATCTGGAATATCCCTCCATACGGCGCTCATGTGTCTCTCTCCCTTCGCCCTTCCCCAAGAGGCCAATCTACATTATTCACAACAGCAGCGCAGAACACATTTCTCTAGTTCCACTGCATTCCTTTTGCTCACTTTGATTTTTTTAATCGTCATGCAGAGATTTAAATTGACTACAATGAGGGAATGCGAAATTTCAGATTGGTTAAAAATGATAAGGCGTTCTTGTGTTCTCCAAGGCAAGGATTTGCACCGCGGCCGGCCTGTGCTTCGACGGACTTTTTCCATTTTGGATTCCGAGACTGCAGCCACTCTCAATTTGATTTATTCACTATTTAAACAACTATCAATTCTAGGATGTTAGACTTGCTTCAGTTCTGCGAAACAGATACTCCAGTTACAGCACAGCTTGTGCAGGCATATTGCAAATTCTCTGAATGTAACTTAATTGGTGTGAAAGTTGAAATGACTAAAGCTCCAATTGTAAGTTTTCGTGTTACCTGGAGCCTGGTGACTAATTTCGATTTCGGGGTCCCGTCATAATATAAGCCGCTATGATAATTTTGACACCTATCATGAGAAAATTCTGCTAAGTTAAAGAAGCCTTACAAGTCAAATTCCAAATCACGGCAACTTGTCCACAATCACTAACGCCCCAAGGTATGTCTCTAATGAGACCCTTCACAGATACTTTGACATCCCTTATTTAAGGGACTAACTACATAAAACAACAGGCGCAGATACGTTATAGTCAAGCGGAATCGCATGGCAACCCTCTGTTGCGCGAGTCCGTAAACTACACAATGGAGCAAGTTCGTAAGCACACAACGCCGCGGCTCGCAACAAAATTAAACCGTGCGAATTATAATTTTGTTCAATAACCAATCTCCAAATTAATTTTAGGATCAATTTAAAATACTAGTTAGCAAATCGTCAAATTATCGCACTTTTCCTCTTTGCTCTCCCTTCCCTCCTTTCTTTCTTCTTCTCCCTTCCCTCGTTTCTCCCTGGCTTTGTCTGGTATCTGGGCAACCTAACCTGACAGACCTTCTGACTTTCAAAGCTTTAACTAAGATCAAAGATATATTTTATAGTCAAATTATCATCTGGCCCCAGGTCAGTATATATACCTCTTCCCAATTTTTTGGGATAGCTAGAAAATGCGAAAACGTGACTTTCCCATCATATTTTTCGATAATCTGTATCATTACATCGTGCTAAGTTTCAAGTTTCCATGAATTACGAAGTTTTTTCTTAGTTTCTTCATTCTCACGTCAGGGTAGCGAATTTGCAATGTAGAATGTTGGATAAGCTACACGAACAACCAGTCGCAGACTTCAGCAGCCAGGGAATGAAAGGAGAGGAAAACGATATCATTCGGACCACCACAAAGATTGGGGGCGGAAGATTTCTCCAGGCTTAACGGCGCGCTTGCACCTATGAAGGAGGTTTTACATGCATGACAAATCGGATGGCCTTAAGTCAACTGGAAGTTGCAAATCGCCCCACTCCTACTTGTTCTTCGAACGAGTCAAGTTAGCCAGTCGAAATTTGGGATGGATGAGTACTATATTTCAGAATAAAAGTAAACATTTTAAGATGGCATCTTGGAATATTTTTCCAAATGGAACGGGGAGCTTCTTATGAGTAAAATAAATAAGTAAATGCTTATTTGCCATTAACATCATAATTTCACAATATGTACTAGAATTTGGGAAGTTTCGAATTAATCAACAATAAAACTTCTGGGAATAGGTGAAAATTATGCCCAAAGATTCCATTACATACATACATACATATAGGACAAGCTAATAAAAGCGAGTTAAAAAAATTAAAAAAGGCATACCACAATCTGCATCCTGTGAGGATTGAACTCACGACCCCGGTTTACAAGACCACGCTCTGCCACTGAGGTACAGAGGCTTGTAGTTTCGCTATTTTATTAACATATCTGCTTTTTACCGAATTTAATGAATAACGATAATGGAAAACTGTTACCAAATTATTGCATTGTCATCCGTCTTTGATACGTGTGCGAAGTTTCAAATTGATCAAACTTCTGGAAAATTATGCTCAAAGATTCCGTTACATTCATGCATACATATAGGACAAGCTAATAAAAGCGAGTAAAAAAAAATAAAAAAAGGGATACCACAATCTGCCTTCTGTGAGGATTGAACTCACGACCTGGTTTACAATACTAGCGTTCTGCCACTGCGCTACAGAGGCTTGTAGTTTCGCTATTCGTAAGGCGGCATTTGAAATCCGTGAGTTTTTATTAACATATCTGCTTTTTACTTATGAATAAGGATGATGGTAAACTAATCATTGTCATCGGTCCTTGATAGGTCTGCGAAGTTTTGTATTAATCAAACTTCTGGAAATTGGTAAAAATTGTGATCAATGATTCAGTTACACATATACATACATATACAGGGTTATCCAAATTAAGTGTCCACCATGGGTAACTTTGTTATTAGTAAAAATACAAAGTTGTTTAAATTAGCAAACTAGTAGCATTTTTAACGCTGGTAAAAATGAGAAATAAAAAAAAAACAATTGAGAGTCGTTATTTTGATTTTTTTCAGTAAAATAACATTTTTTTAAATGGAAACCCCTGTATATTATATTTTTTTCTGTTAAAGCATCAAATTTTAAACAAAAAAGTTCATAATGACTTTTCCGCTAAAGTCAAAAATAAAGTCAAAATAACGATAAATATTTTTAATTATTTGCAGTATTATAATATTAAGACGGCTATGAAAACAACATGGCGTTCGCGATTTGACAGCATTAAGATAAGCGACAAATTGTTAAACTGGACATACTCGCAACTAGAAGGCTTTGGAAAGCAATGATAAAATCAAATAATGTCAAACATTAGTGTAAATACTTGTTTATAAGCTTTATTGTGTCATTAATTTAAAGAAAAATGTTCTCCCATGAAGAAAAGTGTGATATGTTAGAATGCTATTTAGTGTGCAGAAAATCCTCCTTGAGAGCAAGAGAATACTACAGTGAATTATATCCCGCTCGCATTCAACCGTATGAACGATATTTTCAGAGACTTTATCGAAAATTTAGGGGCAACGAAAATGTTTTTGCTAAAACAAGGGCAAAAAAAGAATTCATAATAAGCGAGGCCACGGAAATTGCAGTTATTGGATATTTTGAAGCTTATCGTGAGAATTCAATAGCAGATATTCTCAAGGACTCTAATTTCAGTTATGGTACTGTTCAAAGGATTTTAAAAAAATACAAATTTATTCCGTATAAGTACCGACCAGTTCAAACGCTTTTGGCAGGGGATCCAGAGAGAAGACTTGTTTTTTGCCATTGGTATCTTAGCTTCTGTCGCCAAAATGTAAATAACTTTCGTTACCTTTTATGGACAGATGAATCAAATTTTTCAAATTCTGGAATGTTTAATAGAAAAAACCACCATTATTCGTCAAGAGAAAATCTTTTGTTAGTACATCCAAGAGGCCCACAAGTCCGTTTCAGTTTCAACGTTTGGTGCGGTATAATTGGTTCAAAAATTGTTGGCCCGTTCTTTTATGAGGGAACCCTAACTGGTGAAAGATATGTGGAATTTATGTCAGAAATTCTGACTAATTTCTTAGACGAATTGGATCTTATAAGTAGACATCATCTGCATTTTCAGCAAGATGGCGCACCTGCCCACAACTCCAGAGGTACTTATCATTTTCTAAGTACTACTTTTAATGATCAGTGGATAGGAACAAATGGCCCAATACAGTGGCCTCCCAGATCACCAGATCTAAACCCACTTGATTACTTCTTGTGGGGTTACTTAAAGAACCAAATTTACAAGCGAAGGTACGATAACCTTGACGCGTTAAAGACTGCAGTTAGGGAAAAGATAACCCAGATAGATGGTAGGACCATACTTAAGACAGTTCGAGCAGTTGAAAAACGTGCCCAAAAATGTATTGAAGAACAAGGTGGTGTTTCCGAGCATCTTCTTTAAAAAAAAATTGTTATTGTATTTTGTAAGATTATAAGTTGATGTTGAAAATAAAGTTTGTCGATACAATTTAATTGTTTCAGATTGGAGGCCATAACTTCAACAATTTGTAACCTAGGAGAAAAGTTATTGTAAGCTTTTTTGTTTAAAATTTGATGCTTTAACAGAAAAAAATATAATATACAGGGGTTCCCATTTAAAAAAATGTTATTTTACTGAAAAAAATCAAAATAACGACTCTCAATTGTTTTTTTTATTTCTCATTTTTACCAGCGTTAAAAATGCTCCTAGTTTGCTAATTCAAACAACTTTGTATTTTCACTAATAACAAAGTTACTAATGGTGGACACTTAATTTGGATAACCCTGTATACATACATACAGGCTAAGCTAATAAAAGCGAGTGACATAAGGGTCTCCTGTTAAAAGCAGATGTCCTCCCACAGCGGCTTTCTGCATTAGTTGAGAGAGTCTCTTCTTCGTTTCGCAGTACCAATGTACGTGTTCCACGGGGGTCGATTTCAGTCAAAACATTTCTTTTGTTGGTCATTTATTGGTTTTATATTTAGCACGATAAATACACAATGAACTCAATCCGTGTTATCATTTTCGAATGTATACAGGGCGATCAGCTTCTGTGTCTACTATTATTTCTAGCTTCGTTTCGTTCTCTCGTTTACATTCAACACCACTCGTGCTGTGTGGTGTCATTTTATCTCTAGGTGACTTTTATATGATATACTTCCTGATCTATTTAACTGACTCTTGATCATAATTCTTCCTAGCATCATATCAAACAAGATAGCAGACAATGAATCTCCTTGTCTTAATCCTAAATTTTTCTGTTATTCTTGTATCTCTTATTTCAAACATATGCTTTTTATTTGTTATTGCCGTTTTCTTGAATTTTATGAGTTTCTGAGGTATATGGAAATGTTGCATCGCATAAAAGACTTTGCTCCTTTAATAGTGTCACATGCTTTTTGGAAATCAATAAATAATTGCTGGTGGTGAGTGCTTCTTTCATGAAAAAAGTCTGATCAGTTGTCGATCTTCTTTTACGAAAGCCAGCTTGATAATCTTCCAAATGTGTGTATATAATCTTCTCTAGTCTGATTTTTTGCAATTTTGATAAAATGCTATACACTATATCTAGTAGAGATTCCGTTATAATTATTGAAATCAGTTACGTCAGCTTTTTCCTGTATTTGTGATAACTGCTACTACCCAATACCTAGGTATCGCCTCTTGCCTTTCTATGCTTAAGATTAATCTATGAGGAGGGACACTAGAAAAGAAATCTACATAGCCATGAAAAAAAAACTTGCAAAATTTGATTTAATTTTGATAATCGGTTATCAACTTATAAAGTGAATTGGGAGGAAAAATGAGTAACTTAATATTTCTGAAAAAAGAGAGCCGTCAACCGAAAACAATTCTTGAGAGAATTGTTGCCATCTATGGGGACGATGAAACATAAAAACACAATAAAGTTTTGGTAAAAAAAAGTTTGGATGAATCTATAGAAGAGAATTCCTGAATTGGAAGACCCAAAACAAAACACCACCAAATGAATAAATACCTCAAAGACTTAAAGCCACCTCGAAGATAGTCATGTGAAGGTATCTACTATTAGTATGTCATTTGGAAACATTGACCAACTTTTTAGCACAAATTGTGACGAGTTATGAGACTTGGGTGCATCATTGGGATCCCGAGGCAAAAACAGAATCCAATCCCTACCCCCCAAAAAGGCACGGACGCAACCCTCTGCTGAAAAATGATAACAGTTTTTTGAGTGCTCAGGGATATCCGAATATATGCCAAAAACGATAACCTCATCACACTGAACAATTTACGTGAAGTAACCAGCCGGAACGATTCGGTTTTGCCATTAGACCAATTGTGCATGAATGCAGCTTCGTTGACATACCTGTAGACTATCCTCCCTATGGTCCGACTTTTGATCCTTTAGGGCCGATTTCACCAACATTAATATTATGGACCAATAGGAAAATACCTTATCGAAATGCAATTTGACGGAAGCTGTCAAGGGTCTCAGAATATCAGTGATTTCTATTAAAATGTTGAATAAAATCGTGAAAATTCGACTGTATTATAAACAAGACCACTTTTTGATTCCAACATGATGCTTTTCTACAGAGAAAACAGGACAACTTTCATGTATTTGCTTTATGTTATAGGTGTACATTTGACCATCCGTTATCCCCTCAGCGAATGGGAATGGGAGAAATAATAGGTCGATTTTCTAGCTGTTAAATTTGGCAGCAGGTTTGGTCGTTTGTTAATTCATGTCAATCTCGAAAATTGTTAAGTTCAATATACTGTGTGTATATTATGTGATCATTATAGCTACATATACCTGTTGAATTGTGCGGATTTGCAAGAAAATAGAATATAAAATGTATTCCAACCAATTCCTCATCTCTCTTCATATCATAATAGTAATCATTTGTTATAAATTCATGGATTAATGAATTTCTTCAAAGCAATCAAAACAGTATGGTCGTCCCTATCCTAAAACACCGATATGTGTAAAACATGTTAATCCCTACTTCTCCGAGGTGCATAATGCAATTACTGTAGACATAGACCTAAAATTATTAGTAATTACTGAAAAATAAGTGCTATAAAAGAATTATAAACAGTGATAAAATATTGGTGGTTAAGGTTTTTGACTGGTGACTGGTGGGGATACAATATAGGGATGGCGACGATAGAGAAAGATTTTCCTCTGCCGGCCTTTGACATCGTTTCGAAATATGAAATTCTGGAACCGCTATAAAAATAAAAATGAATACACAAAGCCTACTTGCCTATTTCAGACAAAAACAAAAACACAAAACGATTGTCACCTTGACATCATTCTGCAATCTGACAGGGCGTGCCTGCTGCACGGTATACGGTATCGATATTTGATAAAATATTTTTCTTTCTACCATGACTGCGTGGAAAAAAACAAAATAAGGAGAGATCTAAAATAAGGAGGTATTGGAGGCCTAAAGTAGCCAGGCGCTAATAATTCCTGGCCGTATTTGAATATCTATGCAGGCACAGTAAAACAAAAATAAGACTTGGAATTAATAAAGCTTATTTCGATAGTTGGCAGAGTTTGCTCCACTGGCCACTAGGACGAAGTGTTGACGGATCCCACAGAATTATGTGTCACTTGTCGATCTGGTTAGTTTTAAAATATCTGGAGATAATCAGCTGTTATTCAA